TAGTGCTGGCAAGCAGTAAAGAAAAACACGGCACTGACTGAAAATTCCCAATTGTTTTCCATTTTATCCTACACTTTTTTTAAAGCTTCAGTTCAAAATCTAGCTGACTCATCTGCTCACCTTCAGGGTACTTGCCTTCCTTCCCCTCAAATATGCACAGGAAATGCCATATTGAGTTAGATTAGCAACCAAGTGCAATTATGGCTCAGATGGTAAATGTTACCAAAATAAGTCCGGTCGCAGAGTATGACTTATTTTTAACTTTATAATGCAGTACTGGATTCCACTAGATTTCCCTTATCAGTGAATCCCTTTCCTATCTCCACTACCCAAGCTTAAATTACATGCTAAAACCCACTGCGTGGAATCAATTCTAACTCATGGCAATTCGGGGAACAGACTGCCAGAGGAACAAGTGAGTTCCAACGATCCTGCCTTTCAGTTAGTGGCTCAGTATTTAACCCACTGTGTTATCAAGGTAATTCCATACATTTACAATCACCATTATAGTTTTTTCTTCTGTTACCATCCAGCGGTGTGGACCTGCAGTGAGTGATGACCTGAAGAAAAAGAGTGGCCAGTGGACTGATGATCCAAAGGTAAATTTTATTTCCAAAGTACAGCTTTATATATTTATGAGGCAAGGGTACACACCATGCATGGTGTAACAATAGCATTGTGATAAAACTGCTCTAAGCACAAACACTTCCTTGAGACTAATCTTAACGTAGCTGTGTTCTCAGTGTACTCAGGACATCTGGGAATGTGGGAAAACATATGACCAATGGCCCAGGGTTCCGGGTTACAGTGTCCCCAAGCACCTGAGAGTCACCAGTAAAACTCTGTGACTTTCTATTTTCTTCCAGAAGTAATCATAATTCTGGATTTGGTTAATAAAGCCACCTAATCCACTGTCCCATTGTTCCGGGTTACAGTGTCCCCAAGCACCCCAGAGAGTCACCAGTAAAACTCAGTGACTATATTCTTCAAGAAGTAATCATAATTCTGGATTTGGTTAATAAATCCACCCAATCCACTGTCTTCCTATTTTATTTTCCCCCTGAATTTTATTAAGAAACCCTAAATTTTATTAAGCAATGAAAAAAAAATCCTCACCAACAGTTCAATAACAGTTGGTTAAATACATTTATGGCTCTATCATCAAAATAACCCTTGTGAGATTGCAGGTGCAGGGACACTGAAAGATTTACTGTGGCTTTTCTAACTAAAGTCTGTAACTCCTAGCAAATGACCTTTCCCTGCATAGATCTGGTAAGGTGGGGATGATACCGATAGGACTCACTTGTGGTAATGGGGAACAGGATTCCCTGGATAATCATCCTGTGGTGCACAAAATGAGCCCTCTGAAGCAGGAGGAAGGATCTCATTACCAAATGATCTTTATTTGTATGGTTCTGGGGGGAAAGGTAGGAGAAGATACTGAAAAGATTCTTCTGTGAGTAACTGCAAACAGGATTCCCTGGAGTGCCATCCTGCTGTGCATAAAAAGAGCCCTCTGAGAAACAGGAGGGGATCGCATTACCAGCCAGAGCCAGGAGTGGAACCCATCCTTTGGACCTCAAATCCTTGCACAGTGATCCGGATGACAGCTACATCACAGGAGCAGTGGCAGACCGGGAGCCAGAGCGTGGGACAGAATGACGGACTTCCCAACCCACTAAGCAAGTTCAGTGCTTTTGTGCAGGGAGGCTGGCTTGTGGAGTAGGGTGCCACCAAGCACTTAACTCAGGGAGCTGGGTCTACGGACCCAGGGAGCTTTGGGCATTTATTAGCAGACTTGAAACTTGGTAACATGTCCTGGTAAGCAGTTCAACCCTGAGCATTTCATACTGGCATTACAAATTGTTAACTTCCTCAACAAACCCTGTGATCATGAATTTTGCTTGAGTTCTGCACAGCCATTGCAATGGCCAGCAGAGACCACAGAGGTAAATTAGAGACCACTAATTCAGATAATACAGTGGGGAAGTGAAACCCAACGACCACCATCCCGTTACTTCTGCCTACAGAGTGGAATACAGCATCACATTCCTCCCTTGGAGCAGCTGGTGGATTTGAATCGCCAACCTTGCGGTTAGCTGCCCAATGCCTAGCTCATAGCATTACTAGGACTCCTTAAATTGTGGGCAGTACCAGATATATGCTATTAATGGAGTTTAAGATATTGTTTTGGACACACATTTTCCCCCTAATCCTCTTGAAGCCATACTAAAATGAGAGTAAAGAGTTTTTTTAACCCTAAAGGTTGTTTGATTTTATAGGTTTTTAATGAATCATCACATAATTAGTTTGAAGAAACCATCATTTCTAGTTCCATACGGCATTGTAAGAATTGTTGTCTGGACCCTTTTAAAGCATACATGGTATATATCTTGTTATAAGGGACTAGCCAATGCTTTTCATCACTAGATCTTTCCTACGCCACTGTATCACCGCTCTGAGCCAGCCAGCTGTTTGTGAGCAATGTGTTTACTGTCACTATTTTGGATAATAGAATATGGTTTTGGGATTTTCAGGTTAGCTCTGTTTAATCTGTAGCTACACTTGAAATAAACTAGAATATACAGAGTTTATAGACACCGAGGCAAATCATACATTTTCTTTTAAATCGGACGTTTTCCTCACTGAGAGCCTCAGCCAATAACTTCCTGCTATCTCACACACGAGGTGATCTCTGTTTGTGATCTCTGTTTGCTTCTTGACACTATGGACAAGTTAATAGAGTAAAAAATTTAAAAAGCTTTCTTTCTGAAGGACAATGAAACCAGAAAAAAGAACACGGGAGCAAAAAGTCTTAAATTTCAGAAAGATCCTAACTAGTTCACATAAGAAAATGTAAATGCAGTAGGAACCCCCTGGAAAAGAGGCAGATTTATACTGCAGACTTCCTGACAGGCTCAACAACGGAAGGCTCTAGTTACCTCAGAAGGTTAGGCTGAAAATAGGATTGGGTGAAAGTTTGTTTATGAAGTATTTATACCTCAGCTTCTCTCATTGCTTGCCTCCAACTTGACCGGCACACATTTCTTCAGGAGATCAAATCAGAAGTATATGGGCACCAGAGGAGCACAGCTGAGGGTGGGGGAGCATACAAGACATCCCAACCAGACTCATTGCTATTGAGCCAATTCTCGTACTGAACCTAAAGGACAGAGTAGAACTGCTCCTGTGGGTTTCTGAGGCTCTCAGCACCCAGAAATCTTCATGGTGCTTTCCCCTTCTCCCCTGGAGCAGCTGATGAGTTTCAGCCGCTGGTGCTGTGGTTGTAGAGCGACGTCTAATTCACCATGCGATGCCACCAGGGCTTCTGTACAAAAGACAGGTGGACTGAATGCAGAACTCCTTCCTACACTTAGCTCTCAACAATGTGGCAGCCAGGCTTTCCACTAGGCAGGACAAATCTGACCAGCCAATCGGACAAGGCCTTCCAAAGTTAGCAGTTGAGGTCTCTGGAATAAAGGTCCAGCCAGAGCATCAGAGTGAGCACCTCTGTTAAAAGCTCATCCTGAGCACAGATTCGTCGAGATTCTAATCTGTTATTCTATGTGAACATACAGCAAAGAATTACCAAATATTTGAGGGAAAAAAGTCAAAGATGTGAGATTGAAAGCAAACAGGAAAAAGGATCAAAGCAGTAAAAGAATAAAATCTTATAGAAGAAATAGAAACTATAAGTAATTAAGGAGTAAATAAAAGATACATTGATCACTCTAAAGAGATCATAACAAATTAAAATTCAGAGAAAAATTATAAAAAATGGATGGAATAAATGAAATACTTAAGGGACTGGGTAGAAGATTAAAGTAAAAAAATTACTTATTGAAGATATATTTAATCTTAATAAAAACGTTTTTGTTTTGTGATAGTTGCAACCCCCTCAATAACAGAATTTAAGGGCATCTAGTTAAATATGCACCGTTATTTCATGTGCCACTAAGAGAGTAAAAATGCCCCTAACTGAAAATATAAAAGCATAATAATGTGCATCTCTTTAAAATTTCATCTCATACCTATTGAGTACTACACACTTCATATTTTTACATTATTTGGAAGTAAAAGCATTATACAAAAGATGTAGTTTATAATATGACTATAAAAGGAAGGTAATAGCTAGTATATTTTAAAAATTGACACATTTCCAGGAATTGCCTTAGGAAAAGAAGGCCTACAACGTAAAATAAGAGCTGGCCCAGCACTGATTATTTGAAGACATTGGAGCAGTCGTTTCTTTATGTAAACTTGATGTTTACACTTAGCTCTCAACAACGTGGCAGCCACGCTTTCCACTAGGCAGGAGAAATCTGACCAGCCAATCGGACAAGGCCTTCCAAAATTATTGATGTTTCTTTATGTAAACTTTCAGACAAGGTTTCCAGTACCAATGACCTAAGATTTGTAATGTGGGAGGTCCTACAATACACTTGGACAGGTGGTTCCTGGACTCCGTGATTTATTCACTTGTTGGGAGATCAGCTTCACTGGCATGCTCTGTCACAGTAGAAGATGCAAACTGAATGCATGTTTAGTGATCCACAAGATTTCCAAATTTTGAAAGTGATAGTTCAGAAAGGCAATGTTTCACACATATACATAAAAGCAAAGCAGCACTATGTTTCTTGATTCAAGGTCAGGTATGTTTATTTTAAGATAATAAAAGAATGTAGATTAAGTTGCCTTATAATTATAATTTGTAATAATAATTTGGAACTTAAACAAATTTCTTATTATAAAACAGTTCTGTGAAGTCTTAAAACTTATACCCCATTGTTCTGTAAAAAGTTTGCTAACTAGCTCTTTGCACATCTCTACCTTTTTCAAGAATAGTTTATAAAAGGAAGTACCAAGAATAAAAGCAAAAATGTATTTAATACATTGTTTTCAAAATATTTTAATTAAAAAACCCCCACTAATCCAGTGAGATAATTTTCTTTCAATTTTACAGAGAATAAGGTTCAAGAATAACAACATGAAGAAGATTGTTATAATTCATGACTTTTATTCTGTTTTAATTGCTCAGAATATTCTATCCATGTTTTAATATTATTCAGATGTATAAGCTGATACATTCACTCACCCTGAGCAATAAAGAAGATTACACATATAGCATAGTGTTCCTTCTTAGAGAAGTGGTAGTTACATAAAACAATAGAAACCTAATTCAGTTTTTATCTATATTTGTAAGACTTTAAAACAGTAATATTTCTATGTATGTAAGATCTAACTTATAGACAAAGATTAAAGTAAATTGCATTTCTCAGTTACTTGAGATAGCAGATAACTGAGGACATTCAGTGTAGGTAAAACAGATGGGAACATGCTCAACAAGTGAAATAGGCATTTCATTTAGTTAACTTTACAAGATGCTCAACTGACTCTACCTTCAAAAGAAGGGAAACTAAATTATTACATTGCATGGGCTCCTTACATTCAGGAATCACATATTTCTGTATCAGTGTAATAAACAATATCAGATAAAGAAAGTAAAAAGTCCATCAAATACATTGATAATGCTAATAACATTTTCTTGGAAATAACATTAGTTTTATAAATAGGCTATTAGTCTCATTTTCATATTTAATAACTTATAAAAACAGTCAGTTTTTATTTTCATATGCAAAAGCAATGTAATATCTGGAGTGTGTGTAACCATAAATTAAATGTCTTAAAAAGAAAGATAAATATTATCTTCCACATGAAATATATTAATAGGCTAGTTTAAATTTATCTTGTTTTTTACATATCCATGTATAAACTATTATTTCTAAACTGATTCATTAAGTACCATTCGAATGATTTTCTCCATGCGAAAATCTAATTGTGTTGATTTTTCAATCAAAAGTTTCTCCTTTCCTCCGTTAGGACATTTTATTTTGAAGTAATTGATAATATTTATTTAACACGGCATCACTTTGCATGTGGTCCTTTTGCAAGACACAAATATTAACTTCTATCTAGTATATACATCAATCTTTTAAACAATTTTATGGTCTCTTCTAATACTCATTTTAACACTTCAGGCATATATATTAACAATATGGAATAAGAGAGCTATAATTTTACTAGTGTTACTAACCCATCATCTGCAGTTAAGAGCAGCATCATGTTTAAGACAATGACAATGACTCTTAAAATTGAGTTTATACACATTTTTAAAGAAAAAAAGTCAGTTTTATATATCTTTACTGTATACATTAAAAATACCAGACATTCTGTTGACTTGGGTAAATGAATAAAAATGAAAACAAAACAAATAGACAACCAAAAAACCCCAGAGTTAAAGCAATTAAAAAATATATATGTTGAGTGGCTAAAAAAGTTAAAAGAACAATGTAAACCATGATATAGTGGCACATTTTCTATGAAAATTACTTTAAGCTAATTAAAAAACTAAGAATTAAGAGATTCACTAACAATCCTAAGGGCCCTAAGATTAATATCAAGCAATATACATTTTCTGAAAATATGTTCACAGTAAAAATAAAAAGTGCTGTTCATTTTCAGGTGATCTATAATCAATAAGCAATATATTATTTTGAAATGAGGCAATTTTCTAATAAATAAATAGAAAAAATTAAATACATTCTTATAGTTATTAGAAGTCTTATGTATATACTCTTGAAAGGAATGAGTAAGTTCAAACGACTACATCAAGGCCAAAGCTTACCTTGACAACACAACCTTTGTAGTTACTGAGAAGATACACTTTATCGGTGCTACACATGAGGACTCAGTTCTGGGGGGAAAAGTGATTCCCAGTGCTTTCCACCTTTTGCTTAATTTCTGCATGTTCTGATCTCGGACCTGCTTCCACAACTCTTGAAAATTGTTGCTTGTTGCATATGCCACGTAGACAGTAATGCTTTATGCTCTGTTTTAGGAGTCTCTAGTTGAAATAAGTAAAATAATGATACAAAAGCAATATTTACTTAGGATATAATTCAAAGTTGATAAGGTAAATAAAAAATATTAAGATAATACAACTACATAGTAAGGCATACAATAAACAGCTACCAATAGAAAATCGATAGACAAGTAAACAAGTATTGCTATTAGGGTCCACGTTCATATATGCTCAAGTTTATTTTTAAAAAAAGGTATTTACACAGGTCTCTGTGATCCATGAATGGTTGCAGGCAAGTTCTTTAAAAAGTATACGTGTCTAAGTTTAGTTAAGGTGGAAGTCCAATAAAAAAAGTAGCTTCTGAAGGGATCTGCTGGCCAGTTAAAGTCAGAGCACACAGATCAGTTCAAGCTTATGGTGACTTTCTGAGACTTTTCCAAAGGGCTCATTTTGAGAGATGTTCTTGAAGGACACAAAATAATCATAGAAGCTTATGAATTTCTTTTCAGAAAAATAAAAACTGCTTTGGTACCCAGGAAAATTGCACTGAGAAATTGTTTTCCATCACCACACACCAATATGTGCTCATTCTTCATTGGTAGCAAGGCTGTCTTATGATAATTTTCTTGTAAAACCTTACTCTATTCACTCTATTGCCCTGATCTTGACCCTTCAGGCTTCATTTTGTTTCCAAACTCAGAGAATGCCAAACTGCTGTTTTGATGTACAGAACTCTTCAGGGAAGGGTTACCAAAATCAAAAACTAAACTCACTGGCGCCGAGTGACTCATAGCGACCCTGAAGGAAAGGGTAGAACTGCCCTTGTGGGTTTCCAAGACTGTAATTCTTTATGGTAGAGAACCTCAGCGTGCTTCCTCATCGTAGCTGATGTTGTGGACGTATGGCCTTTCAGTTAGCAGCCCGCTATGTAATCACTATGCTCCCAGGTAAGGGGGATGGAAACACTGCTTGAGAAATGTACAGACGTACACATGGAGGGTATGTTGAGAAGCAATAGTTTCGAATTTTGATATTATTTTTTAAAAAAGGTTTCTATGATTATGTCATGATATTTGAGTTACCATTTTTGTAATAATTTTGAATTTAACCTTGTATAAATACTTAAATAAGTCATGAAATATTTACTAATTAAAATATTAGGGGAGGGAGGGGAAAAAGAGGAGCTGATACCAGGCCTCAAGTAGAAAGAAAATGTTTTGAAAATGATGGCAATATCTATACAAATGTGTTTGATATAATGGAGTATGGATTGTTATTAGAGCTGTAAGAGGCAATAAAATGATTATAAAAAAATTAATGTTTTGTTTAGTTACTTGTCAATGTTATAAAGGCTTAGAAAAGTCATTTCCATCTATGGTTCATGCACTATTGTATAAGATTAATTAATTTACTATACCACTATTATTTGGTTGGGAGCAGTTTAGGGACATAAAAATGGCAAGGCCCTACTTTATTCTTATGTTTTAAGTTCTCACAGGACAATGTTACTGTTGGTAGCTGTCCACTCCCTCCCAACTCGTGGTGAGCCCACACCTACCAGAATTAAAAGCAGCACTAGTCCCATACCCTCTCACAATCAACTGATGGTCCAGTTGTGATCCACTGTCATAGTTAAACCAAGAAAAACAAAAAACAAATCCACTGCCAGTGAGCTGACTTCAACTCCTAGTGATCCTCTAGGACAGAGGAGAATGCCACGTTGGGTTTCTTAGGCTGTAAATCTTTATGGGAGCAGAGGCTTCATCTTTTCCCCTTAGAATGGCTGGTGGGTTTGAAATGCTGACCTTTCACCTAGGAGTCCAACATGTAAGCAACTCCACTACCAGAGCTCATTGTTAGGTGCTATCAGTTAGTCCTCATTCAGAATGAAACAGTGTCTAGTTCTGTGCCACCCTCAAAATCTTTACTGTGTTTGCACCCACCGCTAACAGCTAGTGCGTCAATCCACCTCATTGGAAGGCTTCCCTTTGATTGCTGACTCTCTAACTTATAAGCATGATGACCGTCTTCAGGGACTTGTCTCTTGATAACATGCCCAAAGTTCTTGAGAGGGAAAGAACTGAGAATGACCTTCTCAGTTCTAAGGGGCATTCTGGTTGTACTTTTTCCAAGATGGCTTGTTTGTTCTACCGTTGGTCTATGGTACCTTCAATATTCTTTGCCAATAACATAATCCGAATGCATTGATTTGAATCTTCTGTGATCTTCCTTACTCACCGTCCAGCTTTTGCATGCATATGATGTGGTTGAAATTACGATGGCTTGTGCCAGATGCACCTTGTCCTCAAAATGACATTGTTGCTTTTTAACACTTTAAAGAGGTCTTGTACAGTAGGTTTCCCCAAAGCAATACGCTAGTTGATTCCTTGACTGCTGTTTCCATGAGCATTGATGTGGACAGAGGTAAAATGAAATTCTTGACTTCAATCTTTTTTCCATTTATCATGATATGTCCTACAGACCCAGTTGTAAGGATTATGGTTACCTTTACATTGAGTGTAATGTATACTGAAGGCTGTGGGTACTCTTTGATCTTCATCACAGAATGCTTCAAGTTCTTTTCACTTTTAGCAAACAGAGTTGAAGCGAATGTTTATCGGTCACTCATTTCCATTGTGTTAATTCAGAATCATAGTGGTCCTATATAACAAGGTAGAACTTCCCCTTTGGGTTTTGGAGACTTTAAATTTTACAAGAGCATATAAGATAATCTCATCGTTCTCCAGCAAAGTGACTACTCAAGTAACCGTGCATTAATGCGGAATGCAGGAAGATCATGGGCCAGTGGGTGGAAAGTCTTGTGGATCCGGTGGTGATGGAAGCATCTCTGTGCTAGCATGGGTCTCCATGTGGCTCCTCCGGCTCTAGGGCTCTGGCTCCATCAGTCTTGTCAGCAGGAAGACAAAGCAGAGAATGTACCTGGCCTCCAGTAAGCTATTTATCTCCTTTGTGCCTCCAAATGAGGTCATCCAGCTGCGACTTGATTGACAGGCTAGACTCCACCCCTGTACAAGTTGACAGATTACTGGTGTGTAACTGCCACAGATGCTAACAGAGAGATTGGTCAGTTTTGCCATTCCACTGGCAAAACTGTCTAGGACTGAACCATCTCTGAAGCAAAAACAGGATGTTACACCATCACCAAGAAAGAAGCACATCAGTGGAGTACATGTGAGATCCCTGCCTAGAATAGTGGAGACAGCAGAGGCACCAGATGCCATAGCACTGAGACCAGGTGACAGAGCAGAACAGCAGCTGCGAGACCATGAGACAGAACAAAGGAGCAGCACCACAACCATGAGACACAGAAGGGGAGCAATGCTGAGTCTGTGAGGCAGAGGTGGTCGGCTTTCTGGTCCAAGGAGGGAGACCATGAGATCTTACCAGTTTATAAATGGTCAGCTTCCCTAATAAAGCCCCATAATCATGAGTACTGTGAGTTTCTATGTGGCCATTGCAATGGTTTCTAGATCCCAACAAAGTATAGTGGCATGCCACAGTAGGGATGGCTGATGTTAGGAGAGAAAGAGGGAGGGTGGAGGTATATCTGACCCCTGCCTTGTGACAATCATCCTTAGGCTGATTTGGACTTAAGCTTCTCCTTCGGCTTTTTGTAGGAACAGAGGTCAGATATGGCTCCTTAACCATTTCCTCAAAAGTTCTGTGGAATTCTTGCTCTGTCCAATGTTATCCTTAATTTCTTGTGAGTTACATAGTCAAATGCATTTGTGTAGTCAAACACACACACACACACACACACACACACACAGAAATCTTTTTGGTATTCTCTGCTTTCAGCCAAGATCTAACTGCCATCCGTAATTATCTCTCTCCCTTCATCCCACATCCTCTTCTGAATCCATCTTGAATTTCTCACATTTCTCTGCTGATATACTACGGCAACTGTGTTTGAATTATGTTCAGCAAAATTTTACTTTTGTGTAAAATTCGGTAATTCTGCAATCTGTTGGATCCCCTTTTTAGGGGGAGAAACACATATAGGGATGCCTTTCAGTTTCCTGACAAAGATGAACACTTCCATTGTGGCATTCATTTGTTGAAATATCTCAATTGGGATTCTGTCAATTCCTGGAAGCTTGGGTTTTTGTCTATACCTTCAGTGAAGCTGAACCTACTCCTTTAATATCATCGGATCCCGAGTATGTGCTACCTCCTGAAATGATTGAATGATGACCTTTTTTCCAGGGTAGGGTGGAAGGGGGTGTACAATGATTGTGTGTATACCCTTATTTTTTGGATACTTCCTGCATCATTCAATATAATGCCCATAAAATTCTTCGGCTTGATAATTCAAAGTTTGAATGTTTGTCTTCCCCCATTTCTTTCAGCTTGAGAAATACCAAGTATGTTCTTCCCCTTTGCCTTTCTCACTCCAATCTTTATATATTTCCTTATGATCTTTGATTTGTCTTTTCAAACCACTCTTTGATCTTGAGTTTCTTCATCTTTAGCTACAGTGATTGTGAGCCATAGGATCCGTAGAATTTTCTCATTGGCCAATTTTTGGAAGCAGATTCCAATCTTTTCTTCCAAATCTATCTTGGTCTGAAAGCTATGCTCAAACCTGTTCAGTATCATAGCAACAGGCATCTCTCCTATGACAGATGGGTGGTTTTTCACAGGAAGTGCACTGGTTGGGAATCAAAACAGGGACTCCTACGTGGAAGGTGAGAATTCTATTATTGGGAAGACCTAATAAAAAAGAGCATGGATTTGTTTGTTTGTTTTTTAATCAGAAAGAATGAGGTTCAAATTCTAATATAACACTAATAATAACTAAAAATATAGCTATTGTTATTGTAGCAAATGTTTCGAATCAAGGTTCTTAAAATACCGTATATACTCAGGTATAAGCACATTTTAATGAAGTTTTTGTGGTAAAATTAGGTGCCTCAACAGATATTTGGGCCAGCTTATATTCGAGTATATATGGTAGCAAATATTCCTAATGTTGAAATTATCCTAGATTTTAATAAATCATTCCATTTGGATTCATTATATCATATCTATTCAAAAAAAACCCCTACAGGTTAAACAGAAAAACTTTTAATCAAGACACTTGATGAAAATCAAGTGAGAATTACAGTGGGGTGAGTATGCATTCCAGTCCAATTCTGGATCATGACTTAATAATGGCAGATTAGTGCTTTGTCATAAAGTCTGATTCTTGAATTAAAAGATTTCAATACAATCATGTATTCTTTCAAATTAAAAACAAATCATAATTCTGTTCTTTTCAGGTATTTCTTGAATATTATAACTGATAAATAGAGTGTGATCTTTCTTTTATTATTATGGAGCCATCATATTTAGAAAAGCAAAGAGGCTAACGTACTTATCTGCTATGAAGTTCCTTCTTGAGACAGGATTTGAAAGTGGGATACTTTTGAATTGTCTTATAACCCTGTAGGATAAAAAATATGCACATATAAATAAAATGTTATGGAAATCCTAAGCATATAATGACTAAACAAGCACATAATACCTAAGAGTAATAAAGTGATAGAGGTTTACAGTATAACTTTTATTTTAATTTGATCTCATCACACTTAAGTTTTAAATTAAAAATGATTTTCAATGTATGTCCTTTTGGGTTATTTGTGGCCCCATCTAAAATGTTATCAAGTAACCAGTAGGTGGCAGGTAAGCACACAGTGACTTTATCAGGATGGGCTGGACCTATTAAAATGATTATTTAAAATAAATAAATAAATAAAAACCTCAACAAAAAAAATCTTTAAAACCATGTCTAAGATGAATTTCGTTTTCTTTGGTATACATGTTTCTTTTTAAAACCATATAATACTTAAGGCTGTTTTGCCATGAAAGACTAAATATTCTACTTATTAATTTTAATTTTTTAAAAAAATTGTGGCATTTCAACAGTTGTTAGATGTGTAAATATGCACTGATTTCAGTTCTAATTTCACTCTAAATTTTTTTTTTCTTAAAAAAAATGTTTTTTTAGGGGTAAAACATTGAATTCATAGTACTTAATTAACTACACTGAAAAAAAAATCTTTGACAAAAAACATTTTTTGCTTATTTTCCATATAGAACATACGGACTGTGTAGTGACGGATGAGCCTCTTACGAAACTTGTGTCATATAAAACAAGAAAATGACATTTCTCTGTGGCCACCAGTGTGGAGCACCACTATGCAGACAAAATTTTTCAAGAATATATGGCAACATTTCTCCCCTTCCAAACTAGAATGCAGACAGTAACCTAACATAAAATAAATTACTGAACGCATAAATGATTTTATTTGAAGGAAATTGAAAACATTCATGAGAAATAGAATTAAAAGATAATGGAATTCTCCCACAAACATTTTGAAGCCTCTTCAAATTCTTTAAACCACGATACGTGAATTGTATGTTGATAAAACGTTCAAAAACTAAACTATTTAAAAAAAGCATTTTCTTTCATCACCTCATATTCTTCTTGAATGCAGATAGGAAGTATCTTTAAAACTAAAACATTTCAAGTTCATATCCATACATTTTTATTAAAATTATCTCTCAAACTTGGATGGATTTTTTTCTTTCCTTTAAAAAAAAAAAAGGTGGTGGGGGGAGTGGGGTAAGGAAGGGGTATATACATAGGGCTTAAATTTATAGGCTTACCCGGAACCCTCTATGGAGTCTGTCTTTCATAATTCCAATAAATTCTTTATAACTTAATTGATCATCTTTGTCAACATCAAAAATCTTGAAGACCGTGTTCACTAAATGCGGCGAAAGTTTGAGGCCAGTGGCTACGTAGACAGCACGCTTAAATTCATCTAGATAAACACCACATAAAAAGAAAAAAGGGTTGACAATTAACATCTCATTAATATATGCTAATTACTAAAAAGGCTGTACATGAAATCGGTCTCTAAACATGAGTCATGATCTTACACACCTCATGTTTCATTAAACACACTGCCTTTAGGGAACAAAAGTGTCTGTGGTTTTCATGAAAAGAGCCAAGAAGTTCAACAACGCATCTTATCATTGATTTTTTTTAATGAGCACCTACTAGCAACAACAGATGCCCTAGAGATCATTTGGATGAATAAACTCTCAAGGAACTTACAGTTCAAATTTGGTGAGTCACCTGCCCAGGTAACAATTATACAAAAGGCACCAACCAAGTGCTATGAGAATTTGGAGATGAGTGATTGTTTTCATCTGATTGGGAAAGCCTGTGGCGTTTGTATTTGAGCTGAGCCCTGACAAGGAAGATGGATTTAGGCTTGTAGAGATTTAAGAAACTGCAGATGAAATGGCACAAATGAACAAAGGCACTGGGGGGACATGAATGCAGAAGGCATATTCAGAGGAGTGAGTTGTTAGTTTGGGGAGAGCACAGGGGAACACACAGAAGCTGGAAAACAGACGCAAAAGAGATCTTAGGGGAAGAACCTGCACATTTTCCAATTTGGAAACGGAAGAGTTTTCCATAGCAGTCATGTTGTAGAAAGGTTAATTTGTAGTTTACAAAGTCCACTCTGTGTGGTGTTTGGGAAATACTGAAGAGTCTTTGCTAGCAGAAAGCTGGCATTCCAAACCACAGCAGGGCATTCCTCAGTGGAAGTGGGTGAAGGCTCATATGACTAAGTTTTCTCTATCACGCTACCATAAGATGGACCATTCATTTAACTCTCTTCATCTGACCTCATATTCTTCAACAATCTTCTGCTTATCATTTGGCTTATTAGTCCAACTACAAAATGAAGGAGCGACCTCAGAACAGCAGCATTTTGATTTTATGATAGCTGTATTTCTCTTCAGAAGTGAAGCAAAACCAAAATTCCATTGTATGCATTATTCTCAAAACTTGTTAAGTCTAAATCCTTTGCTGATTAGTGGCTGTGCTGACAAGACAGGTTTCGGAGTCAGCACAAACTGTGAATAAAATCACCAAAATAAAAGCCTCATCCCTTGGGGATGCCTGAGGCATGGCTAACTGGCTCCTCACCAGTAGAAACACATCCCTCAGTGCTACTGAGTGGTCATGAGGTTTCATCTTCTTTAACGCCCCTACCTTTTATCTATGATATTAAATGATGGGCAAAAATAAAGTTTTTGCTCTTTATATTGAAAAGATGATTACTTACCTTGTCCTATAGATCGACTTGCAAAATTATACATATTCAAGGCTATTGCAAAGTCTTCTAGGTTATTCAAAAACTGGAAAAATGACCTGAATTCATCAAATGTGATGCCCTGTATTGGGAAGACACGTATATATTAAATCTTGTTAAACTTATTCACTACCCATATTAATAAACAGATGAAACTGCAATATACCATGAAATAAGCATTCCCAGGGCATAGACTTATTTCTTTAAAATGAAATGTAAAATTCAATCAGATTTATTTTCACTGGTAATGTTGTTATACTAGCAATCAGAGGTGGAAATATTTTTAAACACTGTCAACTGAGCACAAAGATTCAAAGAGGATAGCACTAAAAGTAAATTTTAGAAGTTTAACTTTCAATAATGGTGTTTCAGACCACAATTCTTTTTTTTTTTAAACTTTGAGAGTCAATACAATGATTAAGCAAACCCAAACTACAATCCTGAGAAGGTTAAAAAAAAACACCCTAAAACAAAAACAAACCCTCCCCAAGCTTTCCCTTGCATATGTTTTCCTTAGCTATGACTCGGCATGAGTCATTAATGTCTGTATAATGAGGATGGAAAAAGAAAGTGTTCAGTAACCACAGTAGGGTTTCCCCTTGTTCTTGCCATGATAACACCCCCAGGGCAGCGTGAGGAAGTTCAGTGACTGTCTACAGATCTGGGAGGCCCACACAGGGCTGGCTATGCAATCATGGCAAGACCAGAATGTCATGTATACACTTTGCAATGATTGTGCTAAGACTTGAATAAGACAGGGCACGTTTACTTTGAAGTATGTACAATATATCTCAGAGTAACATGATTGGAGAGAAAGTACATGATTGTAGAGAAAGCGGCAAGAGGTTGTGCGTGAGACCTTTATATGATGGCAAAACCATATGGGAAACTAACACGGCAGAGTTGGCAGGGTAGGCAGAGGCCCAGAGGAGTCTTTTTCCATATAAACGCGACATTGATTAAATAACTTACTGTGAAAATTTCACTTTTTGCTATACATTATTTCTGCTTCTTTTTTTTTTTTTTAAACATTTTATTAGGGGCTCATACAACTCTTATCACAATCCATACACACATCAATTGTGTAATGTGCATTTGTACATCGTTTCTCAAAACATTTTCTCTCCATTTAAACCCCCGACATTAGGTCCTCATTTTCCCCTCCCTTCCCGCTCCCCCCTCCCGCATGAGCCCTTGATAGTTTATAAATGGGTATTTTGTCATATCTTGCCCTGTCCTACGTCTCCCTTCATCCACTTTTTGGTTGTCTGTCCCCCAGGGAGGAGGTCACACACACTTCCATGTGCTTCTTATAACTCTTCTTTTACTGGAAATGCGACCTTCCTCAAAGTCCATTCTTGTTCCCTCTCATTTTTCTCTTCTTCTTTACGTATATTCATTCATGGTCACCCAAACTCTGGATCCTGTACTTTGTGACTTAACTCTATGTGCTATGTTTTTCAGAGAGGGATATTTGAATCAGTTAACAATGAGCTAGCAGTGATTTGTCTATATTGATGTGGAGAGCTAGTTGCCAAGGAAAATGGTCATTGCTCTGGTTCTATATTCGTTTATACCAGTGGTTCTTAACTCTCCTAATGCCGTGACCCTTTAATACAGTTCCTCATGTTGTGGTGACCCCCCAACCATAACATTATTTTTGTTGCTACTTCATAACTGTAATTTTGCTACTATTATGAACTGATGACCCCTGTGAAAGGGTCATTTGACCCCCAAAGGGGTTGTGATCCACAGGTTGAGAAACACTGGTTTATACTGTGACCAGCTGCCACAGCACCAATTAGGTAATATGAGATCATTCTTAAGTACTGTGGATTCCAAGCCTATATAGTTGAGCTCTTTATAAAAGAGAAGTTATATACAGACACCTGGTAGAGGGAGGATGGTCCATAGGATAGTAGAGGCAGATGAGAACCAAGAAATGCCAAGGACAACTGGGAAGCTAGGAGAGAGGCTTGGTACAGTCTGTATCTCAGAGACCTCAAGGACAATCAACATGGTGAATATTCTGATTAAGCATACATTTACACAACAAATAACTTGTTCAATTTTGGGTATTTTGTTTTCACAAATCTAGGAAATTAAGTGATGAAGAAATTTTGGAACTAGGCAGCAGTGCTGGTTCGCATAACATTATGACTATACCTGATACCATTGATTTATGCACTTTAAAAAGGTTGAAATAACTTTTATATGATGTGTATTTACCATAATATACATATTCTCCCTCTTTCTCTCGCTCTCTTATTGAAATATGTTAGGATGCAAATATAGTTGCTTGTGATTTGAACTGTGTCAAAACAGATATTTTAGAAGGTATAATTCAATAAAAAGATACACCAGACAATGCAGTAGATATGAAGCTGCTAAATCTAATTATAGTTTGTACTGGCCAATACTGTGCTTGGTCTGTAGCAGACTTACAGCTGCCAAGTAAAGGGTATGACTGTCCGCAGTGTGTGCTTGCTATCTGGCATGAGTAAGGAACATAGGCCTAAAATAACTGCTAAAATGAGGAAAAGACTGGCTAGGGAAATCCAGTGAATAAAGCTCATAACAAATGTAAAACATAAAGTAGAAATAATCATTCATAAAACGTGGTGTTATGAGGCCTCAAATTTATAACCTAAGCATGTTCTCAACACAAACTCCATCCTGATTCCATAAATTCGGTAAGAAACTATTTTTTGGCTGCGTGGTATACCATTGTATAAAAAGCAAAACCGGCTGCCAATGAGTTGATTCCAACTCATAGCGACCCTATAGGGCAGGGCAGAGTAGAACTGCTCCATGGGGTTTCTGAGGCTGCGAATCTTTCGTGAAGCAGACTGTGCATCATCAGTCTCCCACAAAGCAGCTGGTGGATTTGAACCAGTGACCTTTCAGTTAGCAGTCCAATCCTTAACCACTACAGTGGCAAGGTGCCTATTCCGTTGTATAGGTCACAGGTTCCCCAATTTATTTTCCAAGAATATGTATCTTTACTGAAGCAAACTGCCTCATCCGTTTCCCATGAAGTTGCTGGTGGATTTACATCGCTGACCTTTCAGGTAACAGTCCAGTGCTTAACCACTGTCCTGTTACTATCCTACTCCACTGTGTATCAATTAGTTTAACTAGTAGCTTATTGAAAGACCCCGAAGTAGTTTTGAATCTTTTGCTATTAAAAACAACACTGCAACGAACAACTTTATACATTTGTCATTTCAAACATGAGTGATTATCTTTAGGCAAAATTAATAAAAAACAGGGAAAAAAATCAAACACACTGCTAAGTTACATTTCTTAACAGGGCTCTTCTATCCATGTCTGTAAATCTCAACAAATGACGGAGTGAGACTATGCAAATAGGGTGTGTGATTGATTAGTTTTGGCTGCCATACCCCGGGCTATAGGAGCACTTTCTCTGAAACAAGCACAGACATGAGCCCCAGGATCATCAAGGAAGAGCCAACAGTGGCACACATCTGAGAACTCTGTGTAAAGTGGCAGAGACCAGGACCAGAGGCACCAGAGGCTGCGACACAGAAACCTGGGACAGAGCAAAGGAGCTAGTCTGAGACCACAGGCCACAGCAAGGAAAACATGAGACAGAACAGGCGAGCCAACACTGAGACTGTGAGGCAGAGCAGGAGTCTAGCTTTCTGGCCCACAGTAGCAGAGGCCAAGGGACCATTGGCTGAAAGGCTGAGGACCAGAGAGAAACCTTGACTGCTGGCTGAGGAGACATGTTGCTGTGGAACAATGATTGTTTCCCTTAATTTTTTTCTGATCCTAGCTTGTAGTTACCTATCAAATTCCCTAAGCCCCTGAATCATGAGTATTGTCTGTGAGTTTTGTATGACAGAAATAGGTTATGGAACCCACCAGAGAAGTAGAGTGCCATGGGAGAAATGGTGTTAGAGTAGGGTTCAAGAAGGATGGAAGTCATAGGTTTTGAGCTGGTGACAAGTTCAATTTTCCTTCTCCCTTGTTTACCCAAACCGAGGTCAGCTGTGGCGTCGGTGCCATTTCCTCAGCTCCTCGCTGCTAAATGTGGTCTATCATCTATCCATTGATTCCAAAGATATTGTAAATGCTGTGGATATGTACAGGTGAACCCAAAAAGACAAAAGTGCCACCAGCTCTCCTGTAGCTTACACTGTAGTTGGGAAAGCTAGAGCGTAAACAATAAATATAAGTACATATAGTTTAGCAATGAAGACAGATAAATAATTAAGAATACAAACAGGCAAACAATAAAGTATGTTATAAGGTGATAATGCTATCGGAAAATAAAACAAAACAAAGACTAAAGTAAGCAGCAGCAGAAATCTCTGGAAGCTGGAGGTTATAATTTACACAAAAGGCTATAACTCATATAATCGGTCATATGCTAAAATAAACTATTATTTATCTAGAGGTGATATATATATATATTTTTTTGAGGTGATATATTCTTTATGTATTAGATTGGATATGGTAGATCTCATTGAATTGTAACATATTGAGCCACTTGGATATCTACAAGAACATTCTGGGCAAAGAGGAAAACCTGTGTAAAAGATAGACACTGGCATTTGAGCGAGGAGAGGGCAGAAAATGAGGTCAGAAAGGTGATGAGGAGCAGAATGTATAGGGCTTGCAAGCCACTGTAAAGATTACAGTTTTACTTTAAGAAAAGTGAGGAGTTGCCAAGGTAAGTTCTGAATCATGGAATACATTCCCTTAATCACTAGACTGAGAATAGATTGCAAGAAGAAAACATTGGAAGTCGAGAAGGAACTTAGGAGGCAAATGTAATAAACTTGGAAAGAGAAGGTGGGATGGAAGTGCTAAAATGTGATGGCATCTTGAAAGAGGTGGATTTAATAGTATCTGCTCATATATATATGTAGAATATAATAGCTAAGGTGCTGATAAATTTGGTCAGAACAATGAGATGAAAGGTGTTTCTATTGACTACAACAGAATAGAGGGTGTGTAAGCAACTTCTTCTTCCTCTTTTTTTTTAAGCCAGGGAAGAAAATTTTGTCATGGAACAAGCAAGAAATACTTAAGCCTAGAACAAATTCTGGTCAG